CCAATTGATGTACAACATTGTAAACTATTCTTCCAATTGATGTACAACATTGTAAACTATTCTTCCATTGATGTACAACATTGTAAACTACATTGTAAACTATTCTTCCAATTGATGTACAACATTGTAAACTATTCTTCCAATTGATGTACAACATTGTAAACTATTCTTCCAATTGATGTACAACATTGTAAACTATTCTTCCAATTGATGTACAACATTGTAAACTATTCTTCCATTGATGTACAACATTGTAAACTATTCTTCCAATTGATGTACAACATTGTAAACTATTCTTCCATTGATGTATAACATTGTATTCTTCCAATTGAACTATTCTTCCAATTGATGTACAACATTGTAAACTATTCTTCCAATTGATGTACAACATTGTAAACTATTCTTCCATTGATGTACAACATTGTAAACTATTCTTCCATTGATGTACAACATTGTAAACTATTCTTCCAATTGATGTACAACATTGTAAACTATTCTTCCAATTGATGTACAACATTGTAAACTATTCTTCCAATTGATGTACAACATTGTAAACTATTCTTCGAATCTATGCATAGCATTGTAAATAAGGACAATGGACTGTGAAATATTCAAACTCAAGACAATGGACTGTGAAATATTCACTCAAGTCTCTCAGTAAGTGCTGTAGGTCTAGATTCTTGTAAAATAATGTAAAGAAAATTGGTTCTGGGTACACAAAGTATGACATGTCAGATTAACTGTAACAAAGTGAAAGAATCGAGTGGTCCTAACTATTTAGAGTTCTACTTATCAACAGCAATATCACAGATGCAGGCTTTGAAAACGTGTCTCCACGTCAAGACTTCCCTGTAATATATCTATCGTTAGATTGAGAGGGTCCCTGGGTTAAACTTCAAAGAACCCCGGATTAATCTTTAAAGCACCAAAATGACATTTCATTCTGGTGATTTATCATCAGTATACATGCTACACAACTGAGAGAGTGTTTTGGATTCCATGCCTTTTGGCAATATTTCAGCAATAACACACCCTTTGGCATGACAGGCAAAAGTTGTAACCACAAGACTACTTCAAACTGAAATCAAATAAAAAAAACAACTAATAAGAATATATTTAGCAAAAGCTAGATATAAGTGAAGCATATATTATCTAAAATATTAATTGGTAACATCATGTGCTGTTGATCACTGGATTGTCTGGTCCAGACTCCACTATTTAAAGCCCACCACCATATAGCTGGAATATTGCTGAGTGCGGCGTTAAACAACAAACCAACCCAAATCAAATGTATATAAAGTATGTCAACTTGTGAATCTCTCAGCATTACAACACAGCTTGCATGTGTATCGACATGAACAAAACCACCAGCTGTGCAATATTGTAATCAAAATGATGCTTTATACAGTTGACATAAGGTATATATGAGGCAAATTGTGCAAAAACTGCCAAATGACACACTCACAGTTCAGCTCAATAAGATATGTTTAGAAGGTGAAGATCATACATCAGAGAAGTCAATGATTCTTAAGATGGTATGCTTCGTTGACAATGACGGCCATTCTATTGTTAAAAATCAAATAATGCAATATTGATCTTTGGGTGCAGATGGTGCAGGGATGGAAATCAGCACTAACCCACTAACATGGTCTAGTATTGTTACTATAAAGGCATCCTGTGGGCCAGTCAACTTCCACATTTGTAGGGTATCGTTATGGTATCGCTATTAGGGCTAGTAGACATTTTTGGTTAATTTCTACCCTGTAGAGACATTTATACTGAACAGCCACATACATGTGTTGATAAATGATTGAGTAAAAGTTTACTGTGACATTTTCAATGTTGTTACCATGGTGATGTAAATAATTAATCTTATAGACAGTAGACACCAGAGTAAATTTTAAATACAGTCACTTTATTAGGTATCACTTGATCAATAGGGCTTTGAATGTGAAACATTAATTGACAGTCAATAAAAAAAACTATATATAAATGACATAGAATATATTCTACACATCACAATATTAGCTGTATGTATCAAATTACATAGGCAGCTTCACAAACTGTTTTCGTGTTGTGTGGAGTGGTGTGTCTAACAGCAAGTTTTAATTAACCTAAAACCGAAGGCAACATGAAACTGATAGCGGCTGCCTAATCTCATTGTTGAAATAAATAATAATGAGCAAGTTTATTATTACAATTGAAAGCTAAGCTAAAGTTCTGAAACATTTGTACATAAATCCCCTGCAGCAGGTTATCAACAACGCCTGCAAACAAAGGAAGCCAAAAGAAAAAGATGGTCATCATGCGAACATTTTGCATCTCACGACAATCAATGGCATTACACTCTTCAACAAATAATCTGTTGATAAGATGTTATCAGCTATACAGACCACAAAAGAATAACAAGTTAAACCAACATGGGGCGTATTAGATTAAATGCTTGATTATTTTTATTCCTGAAATTATAACTTTGGTAAAAAAGAATTTTTAAGAAAACAACTATGGAAGAAATATTTGAGAATTAATCTATTCAGGTATAAAAGCAATATTAACCATGGATTTATCTTGAATTCCAACCGAAGTGCCCACACGGGAAAACAGGAAACAAATTATAATGTTCTTCTAAAGTGGGATTTGTTTTCATGTTTTCCAAAATTCAGGGTGTTTAAACAATAAATTCTGTGAAGGAAGCTAAAACTACAAGGTCCTTGCTCTTCACTGGTTCCATTAACAGTGAAATTATTACAAGTCACCAGTGCAAAACCATCACATAAATAATAAGAAGTGTGAAATTCAAGATGGAAATCTCAACTGATTTCCATATGCTTTTATCCTATCAACCTGTTAGTATGTCTGGATAAATCCCTGAATACACAACAAGCACTAGATGTCGACTAGGTAATCGTCACTCAACATAGTTCAATGTCTGGCCATTGTTTGACATGCTTCAGTAACTATAAACATAACAGATACCAGTAATTCTGTTGTCAGGCGAAGTTGGTTAATTAAATATACTTCTATCTGTACTGAAACATGAAACTGATAATATAAAGCGGTTAACTCTGTAAGTAAATTCCGTCTGTCTTTAGATGTACAAGTCTCGTTAATGCCTCTTTGTGATGCACTTTATTGTTGTACTCAAAAACATTGATTGATGCGAAGCTATCATCAATACAGTCTTCAATAGATGAATACTGGAATGATGTACTGTACGAATACTTTGCAATAATACATGGAACATGACGTTTATAAATACAAAATGATTTGAGATGACTACTTCCATGTATTGGTAAAATAATTTTCATCATTTAAAAAAAAAAATTAAATTTGAAAATGCACGGTGTTTCAAATTATGCCATTATTTACTAAATTTGTAAAATAATCACTTTCAAAAAGCCTTCAAAACATTAATTACATTGGGACAGGACACATGCAGCGAGAATGTTTTTGAGGCTAATGCTTCCAACTCGTTCCATCATGTGGAAGTAGAACACTAACAGCTGTTATTGGTAAATGGGAACATTTTATGGATGTTAACTTCTGTAATATGAGGAACCCAACGTTTCAGAGTTTCTTACTCTGAATTCCATGTTCCTCATGTTACAAGTCTTCTTTCATATGTGTATCACTTCCAAATGCCGTTCAAAAGATCTCTGTTATCTGTGTCAAAAAGCATTTCAAATTCAGATTAAGACATGCATATACAGGGTTTTATCTAGTCTGTCTCACAGTCCCTGAACCACATTAATTTTCCTACTGCCAAGCCCTCCCTGCAGTGCTAAAGCCCTAAATAAAGCAAGTCTAGATTTCCTCAGGTTCAGGTCTGGTCTCCCTAGGGCTCCTTTTCAATATAAATGGGTTTGTTTGTTACTATCAAAATTATATATATTCAGAGACTAAGCCTTAGTCTAGGTTTTATCTTGCATTGGACATCGAATCAATAATTTCAAGGGTCCTTACACTAAGTTACAGGAAATATGGACGTACCTTGTTAAATAATGAAATAGTGTAGTCTGCTGTACTTGAGGATGTGATTATTATGCTTATAATGGGACCTTTATGTTTCTTGTGAAGAATTTGGCACAAAGTACACTATTGTACATCCCTTGAGATCACTATGCAATATGTATTATTTGGTGTCCATTCTATACTGGTGACTGTACTGGACGAACATCTCTGCATGGCATACCATTGTGTTATTCCCTACAACCTGCAAATCTCAACTGTATTAGTGGTCCGCGAATTTTCTAATGAAAATTGTGAGATTTATGTATCTCCTGTCTATCATTCTCACACTTAGTTCCAATGAAAGAAACTATACCATTCCTGAAAATTCGACTGGCATCATCATTGTTGTGCAGTTGTTTAATTAGTGCGCAATATTCACACGTGCACTACAGATGTGGCTCTGTGATGGCGTGTTGAGGAAGAACGCACGTCGCCTGTTTTTGAATTGCTCTGGTTACAAAATACAAAACAAACGGCCTGTACATGCGTGCATCATCACGAAATATATCTTCAGTTCGTCACGTGTATTAGTATACTCACGATCTAGCGTGACGCCACGTACAGAATACAACTACTAGTATATGTAAACAAACCCAGCTGGCGGCCCTGATTAGATCGAGTTTAGGACGTACTAATTTTGTATACCTGTGGTTCGTCGATTGTATCGACGTTTTGTCAGATATTTTTTATGTAGAAATATTGAGGTATCTGACATATGAATAAGTCTTAAAAAAATATTGTTTTCGTGTAATAAAAAGCACTAACAGCAAGTCAATTCATTGTCACAATCCAGGACACCGACAAAATACCCGAATAAAAAGTTTGTAAAAAACCGACACTGGTCGGATAACAGTACAGACTATCCCTAAATTCCGAGAAATATGTTTACACGACGATAGCCCGTGGAGGACTGCCTGCGTTCACACACCTCTTCCCATAACAAAGATCGCATGCCTCGTCTCTCATTCAGTGAGGTTTTACCGACTTACCGTTGTAGCGCTTTGCCTTGGGTTTGGATACATCTTCACCCATGATCATCAGCGAAAGTCCAAACATAAGTAATCCTAAAACCGAACAGTAGGCGGCATTATACATGGTTCTTCCTTGCAAGTACCCCGACTAAGTTTGAAAGCTCCACATTGACAATGTTGTTCAATCGAACTCGTGAACTGGGAAGCAAGCCTTGACCTTTCACCTTTCCGACTATCCAATGAGATGAGTTATATTTAACACATCTCTCTCCTATTGGTCAGTTGGAGCCGGAGTTTACGATGTGATATAGCATATTTCAGAATAGCAGGCGGGCTTCGACTGAGTGTCGTTTGTTCCGAAGATTAATCGGTTTGGTGATAAACTGTTCCGAGGTAACCTGTCGCAGAGTAAGCCTAAACAACAGTCATTGTTGGATTTCAGAGCATGCCGAGGTCTTCTAAATCCAACACGGCATACACAATGGCAGTCCCCCGGTAGGAAGATTATGTAATTGACTTAATACATGTTAGGCACAATTGACAAGTCTTGACTTCTCTGTATGAGTGGAAAGTTGGCGATTTGTCTGTTGTTTAACGACGTCAGCAATATTCCGGTCTGTGAATATTCGAGTCTGGACCAGACCATCCGGTGAATGACAGCATGAGCATCGACCCAAGCATACGATGACATACAGCTAAGTTAAGTCACCGAACATGACCACCCGATTTAAATTGTTTCGTTGCCGACTAAAATATGGTACTTATATACTCTCGAATCTGCATTCTTTTCGTTTATGTGCCCAGTTTAGGTGCTACTATATACCATGTGATGTCAGAAATATGGAACGATATCATGTAAATAAGAATGTACAAGTTACAACTAACGCTTAGTCAAAACTTCTTTGGGAGGTATTTAGAAGTTGGGTGGGTAAGGAAGGATAACAATATATGGTTGAACACAAACAGCTCATTCCTATGGGTGAACAACGGATGTATTACAGGACGTCGCTCTCACTGTAATTAACAAGTTGTTCATCCATATATTTTTATCCTTCCTAACGCTTAGTCTCTGAATTTATATAATTTTCATGGTAAGAATATATGGATGAACAACTTCTTAATTAAAATATTGATGGTAACATTTAACTTTAAAAGGAGCCCGAGTGAAATGGGATATTCAGAACCTAAGGAAATCTAGACTTACTTCATTTCGTGCTTTAGGGTGAGTGAGTGAGTTGAGTTTTACGCCGCACTCAGCAATATTCCAGCTATATGGCGGCGGTTGGTAAATAATCGAGTCTGGACCAGACAATCCAGTGATCAACAGCATGAGTATCGATCTGCGCAATTGGGAACCGATGACAGCGAGCCTGACCACCCGATCCCGTTAGTCGCCTCTTAGGACAAGCATGGGTTACTGAAGATCAATATTCTAAACCGGATCGTGCTTTAAGGAGGGCCAGTCAGTAGGGAAACTATTGCTGTTCACGGACTGTGAGACAGACTAACGCCGTCGTCCTAGGTTTGTATACTGGGGGTACTGACGTATGGACAAACCTGCAGGGAGTGTAGACCTGATTCTCGAAACATTCGTATCCCTAAGAATCCTGAACTTTGATCGTAGCCAATGTGTTAAGAATGGGTTTAAGAAGTTTGTAGGGCTACGTTTCGAGAATAGCTAGCCCGGATTACAAACCATCCAAGCAAATATAGCATACTTATACGTATTAATTCCTCAAATCTTCCGATTCATTTTAGCTGTGATTATTCACTAATGATTAATCTCTAGTGATTCGTAACTAACATAGATATGAGCTGTAATCATGATTATAATTTTAGCAAAAACTGTTAATTATTTATTAATGATAATGACGAATTGAAAACAGTTGTAATTCCAGTTTGTTTATGTTTTTTTCGACTGATTTACATATATTCACGCAGTTTAGTCAGGGGAGGGGGGGATTTGTGATTAATACTTAAGACAGGTAGAATTTAGTGTGTACTATCTGGTGGGTTTATTTGATACATGTGTAAAAATTCCATAAACTATCTGCCTTTACAATACGCCCAGCACTGAATAAGCAGTCGTTATTTGGCTTATCACATAGCAGCCCTCGTGATCATATCACCCGACAAATCAGTATATTCACTACTCGCGGCATGCTGTCATGAGTAAACTGCTATTGTTTCCGTCTGTGAGATGTCATAAACGTGATATTTGATATCTAAAATACAAATTGTTCTTTAATTTTGCATTCTCTTAAAGAACGTACGTGAAAATGGTTAAATATCAATTTTAGGATTTTTCCATATAGAAATAACATTTTGTCATTAAATGCATAATAACATTTGTTATTCTCTAGTGGTTTCTGTCGTATTCACCTTTATAAACGATTATTTACTAATTAGCTGTAAGTCAACACCTAGACGTATTGTCACTGAGATATATTCCACGTGGATGTCACACCGTGAACTGATGGCCGACGCGGGCTTATTGATCGGAGTTGTTTATGGACGCTTCAGTGAATTTCCAACAACGACACGCTCTGGTCAACGTGTGACGCCTACGTCTGTATCAAAAGTGTGGAGCCTAAGCATTGAAACATCAGTACCTCAGCGAACTGTTCTACATGATCATAATATTGGTTTGATCAGCGGAAAACGGGCATTGAACACTTCCGGCATCATGTCATGTCGGTGAGTGAGTATGGTTTTACGCCGCTTTTAGGAATATTCCAGTAATATCACGGCGGGGGGACACCAGAAATGGACTTCACACATTGTGCCCATGTGGGGAATCGAACCCGGGCCTTCGGCGTGACGAGTGGACGCTTTAACCACTAGGCTACCCCACCGCTCCTCGTGTAGGTGAAGTCAGAGTAAGAACACAGTGTTGAAGAACAGTGATTATGGATAGGCAAGTGATACGTTTGGGTTGAAGGATTGTATGTTGCAATACCTTAGTAAATGTTTATATAAATGCTGACCCGTGAAAATCCGGGATAGAATTAGTTTTAAGCAACCCATGTTTGTCGTTAAAGGCGACTAACGGAATCGGGTGGTCAGACTCGCTGACTTGGTTGACACATGTCATCGTATCCCAGTTGCGTAGATCGATGTTCATGCTGTTGATCACTGGATTGTCTGGTCCAGACTCGATTTTTATAGACCACCATATAGCTGGAACCTATGTAAGCATTACATATAGTACTGTATTGTGATTTGAGATTTATACATTTCTTGTCTTGATCTGTTAATTACGTGATTCTATACGTTTTTATTGATTCAGCAGTGGACGTATATGAAAATGAATATTTCCACTCTGTAAAATAACAGGCTACATATAGGAGCTCTTTAAAAAACACTCGGCCTCTATTTCACAAATGTTTCCGTTGTATTATTTCAAAGGCAAAACATAACAAAATTAAAATATTTTGATTTGTGACCCAAATATGACGATTGCATACTCTGCTAACAGGCTACCACATCAAAACCTTAAAACTGACCACCAACATTCCAGGGGTTGGAACCGTGAAGATTCGACAAACGGGATCGGGTGGGTAGGCTCGTTGCCTTGGTTGGCACATGTCATCGCGTGGATCGATGTTCATGCTGTTGATCACTGGACTATCTGGTCCAGACTCCGTTGTCCTGCTGGCACCAAAAAATTTCCATAGAACACGGGCAAGCAGATGGAAGTAATTATTTACAGACCACCGCCGTATAAATGGAATATTGCCGAGTGCAGCGTTAAACACCAAACCAACCAACCGAACTGATTGTTTATTAGGAAGTGTCACACAAGGTGTACATGGGACATATACATTCAGAAAACAGTACAACACGGACCATACTGCCCTATATACTAGTATACTAAGGATAACATTAAGTTTGTGGATATTACATGTAGTTAGATGTATAAAAGCAACATCGGTACATATACGTGTAGGGCGGTGGGGTAGCCTAATGGTTAAAGCGTTGGCTCGTCACGCTGAAGACCCGGGTTCGAATCCCCACATGGGCACAATGTGTGAAGCCCATTTCTGGTGTCCCCCGCCGTGATGTTGCTGGAATATTCTAAAAGCGGTGTAAAACCAAACTCACTCAGTCAGACATATACGTGTATTATACTATCACATAAAAGTCCAGCCTCTGATGAACAACATATCCATATACAGCTATGGCGAACCCTACCAGAGCCACATGGGCCGGATTCACAGAGCGTTCGTAGAACTATGATATTCGTAAGCCTATCATAAACCATATAGTTACGGCAGGTCCTAACGTTACGGACGCTTCGATTATTTACAGACCGCCGCCATATAGCTGGAATATTGCAGAGTGCGGCGTAAAACTAAACTCACTCACTCACTCGACTAAATATACATGTTACCGGGACAAAAAAGACACTCTAACACACACAGTCCAGTCGTTATGTACATACCAATGTTATAAACGTAACTTTCTGTATACATTCTAGCTAGTTACATTATCGCGCAGATCTCACGAACAGAACAAATGCCTATGAAATACATTCCACTAGCTGTTCTGAGTGCTAAGCCCATAGTTGTATAGTAATTCTGTCTTTTAAAGAAGCAAGCTTAGATAAGGGAACAGTTTCAAGGACTCCAGTCTGGTAGAGGGACAAAGTGTTTTTCTATCCATAATTTTTAGAAATTATCTTTTAAACTATTATCTTCTATTTTAGAGACTTGCGCAAGTCTAACATTTCACCTCAGTGTAAACACACTCATTCACCCAGGCATACAAGTACACACCCACACACCATCTCACCAGCCTACCACCACTTCGTCAACAACTAGCTGTAATAACACACCGCTAGCAACACAGATTAGCCTCTAGACATCATCCTGTATCATCTGTCAGTTTGATTGTTGTTGTTCATATTGTCTGTATATGGTATAAATATTATTATATATATATAATGTACTCTTAGCTGTTGAGGGGCGGTTGGGTAGCCTAGTGGTTAAAGTGTTCGCTCGTCACGCCAAAGACCAGGGTTCGATTCCCCACATGGATGCAATGTGTGGAGCCCATTTCTGGTGTTCCCCGCCGTGATATTGCTGGACTATTGCCAAAAGCGGCGTAAAACCATACTTACTCACTCACTAACATGAGTGGGTGTGTGGGACGGGTTTAACACCCATTTGACTATGTACATGAGAGTGATGAACATTCAGCTGGCTAGCGA